GAGCCCCCCCCCAGATATATGTATGTATGTATAGACACACACACACACACACACACACACACACACACACACACACACAATAAATAAAACAAAGAAAACACAAAACAAGCACGCTCTTTAAAATAAAAAGAATGGAAAAGTTACTAACTGAGTGAAGTAATACAATGAAGTAACTGAATGAAGAAAAGCTGTGCTCTTCTGCTCTGACACTGTCCATCTCTCTCTCCCTCTCTGATCTAGATCCTGGATAGACTGCTGGATGGAGACTTGACAAGCGATATTTCTTTCTTCCAGAATGTGACAGGATGCACCAATTACTACAACCTTTTACAGTGCAAGGTAATTACCACATTTTAAAAACCATAGTAATGTCTGCCTAAAACTTTTGGCAAAATCAAACTTCCTCTAATTTGAAAAATATTGTAGCTGACTTTATATTACATGAATATGTCTAAAGTGTATTACATGGTTTAGTCTGATAACCTATGGGTTTTGTTTCCCACCAACACTGTTTTCTTACCATGCAGAGTTTGCGTGATAGTCTGGATAACTCAGAATGATGTCTGATTCATTCAGTTTTGTCCCACGAGCTGGTTCCTAGGAGTTCTGTGAAGGGTACAGCCTGGGGCTGTAGTCCAGGGTGTTGAGTCTCAGCTTCAGGATTCATTATGAGTCTCTTGAAAATGCCTGCATTCTTTGTTCTGTACTTAAGATGACTTAGGTAATCAACACTGCCAAACCTTCATGAAAATATTTGCTTTGTCTTACTTTTAACTTGAGATGTTTAATGCATTTAGTGTGGCCCTCACTTCAAACCCTCTGGAATATTAAAGTATTCAAGTAGTTTCTTTCATAAAAGTGTGCTAGAGTTGACCTCTTCTGTGTAGAGTTAAGTAAGTAAGAGAAAGAGAGCCAATTTGGGGGTTTGGATGTGCGGAGTCTTTGTGTATTGCACATGACAGTACATCCAGTTTTAAAAGTTGCCTTATTTTGAGCTATTTGTAAGTAAAATGTGAAGCCAATTTTGGTGGGATTATTCTCAACTCTGTGGTTTTGGATTTATATTCTACCAGTAACAAAATACAGTAGGAGAGAAAAACAAAAATTGCGATACAATGTTTTTCTGTACAAAATAATATATTCATAGCAAAGAAAAAATCAGTGAAGCTCAAAATTGTTGAACTGAAATCTTAAATACTATTTTTTTGTCTTTTTGTAGCTTGAATGATTAAAAAAAATAGCTATTCACTCCTTTTTTTTTCTTTTAGTATAATGGTTATTCCAAAGACTTTTAAGCAGTATTTGGGGGTGGGGGCTGTTTTATTAGTAAGAGTCACGAGTAAATTTTGCTTTATATCCTTCATAAAATTCCATGATTTTACATTTCATATGTTCTCCCCTTAAATTATAGCCCACTGATTGTATGTGTGTATATGTGTATGAGGAAGAGAGACAGAGCAGACCAAGAGTCATTAATGAATGGCAGAAATTGAAAGTAAATTGTAGCTTTAATCCACTACGCTCCCAAGCTCCCTGAGATCCACTTGACCTTCCTTGCCCAGAGCTAAGGACAAAGAGCAATTGATTCACAAAATCTCACTTTCCTTTCTCCAACTTTGTCTCCAATAAGGTGACTAATTAGACTGCATTATTGTAACCATTAGTTTTTCTGAGAAAGAAAATCCAACCTGGGGAAAATTGGATATTGACTCCAAAAGAATGAAGTGACCTGGATTGGGCCTTAGTGAAAAGATCCTACTTACTTGACCATAGACTCTCCCTAGTAAAATTTCAAAAGTGAGGACAAGTTAATAGTCAAGGCACGTCTTGTGCACTGTGCTGTCTGTTATGAGAAATTCTCAGGTTTCCCAATGGGCAGTGTTCCATGACATCTTCTGACCCATCTTCTGCCAGGAACCCAAGGACCAAGGTTACTATGGGAAGTTTTTGTCACTCCCACATGTGAGACAGGCCATCCACGTGGGAAACCGGGCCTTCAGTGATGGCGCTGAAGTTGAAAAGCACTTGCGGGAGGACATGATGCAGACAGTGAAGCCCTGGCTGACTGAGATCATGAATAACGACTACAAGGTAAACCAGGGGCCTCTGCCTGACTGCCTCAGAGCTTCAGATCACTTGGAACAGAGGGAAGTTTTTTCATTTCTGATTTGATTCCTGCCTTTCAGACAACATCTTTCATTCTGTTTATAAACAGAAATAACCTCTTGTCTGATTTTTTTTGAATAGCAATTCTTTTCAATCATCCCTTAAAATGAGATTCCTTGTGACACACACCAGCTCTTATCCTTTCTCAGTAAAGGAAAATGGAGCTGAGAAGCTCAGCGGAGTTGTATAAAAGTCACATTGACCTTGTTACTTGCTTTATGATATGAATGGCATCCTAGTCAACATTATTCGAGTGTGCATCTGCCTCAGAAGTGCATTCAGTGGCTTTGTTTAGTGACAATCCTGCCAGTCTCTGCTACAAGCTTAACCCTGCTGGGCTGCTGAGTTGGAATGAGAAATGAGAAAGCTCACTATTCTGAGCACAGCCATGCAGACACTGTTTTGGGTTGAGATGTTCTGCCTGATTGGCTGCTGGAAGCACCAGAGGAAATGAAATCACAGAAAACTCTCTAGGACCTCACCAGGTAGGAGGATGCCAAGGGCAAGTAAACGGGAGACGTCACCTGTGTGTTGTAGTTTCTCTCCTGGTACTGTTCTCTCACCCCCCCTCTGATCCTCCAAGACTGATGTTCTTCCTAGAGATGGCCTACAGGAACACCTTGAGAGCTAAGTGGGAAGCGATCGAGAACTGTACCCGCGGAGGCTTCCTCCCTATATCTGGCAGAAGCAAGGGTAATACTTAGGCTGAATAAAAGCCAAACAGTCAGTAGCCTATAAGAAACCTTGTATGAATTAGACAAAAGTCCTGTCTGCATGATATTTTATTTCCAACCATCAGAAATTTGTCCAATATACTGCTTTTGTTAGACCCAAGCTTTCACTGCCCTTTTCCAACACAAGAAATATGTATTTTTATGCTGTCTGGTGTCCCTGAGGATTTTCAGTGTACAGTTTACAGTCCTGTGCAAGGAGACTCTGAACAAATGCACACTTACTACATTGTATTTTAGACTATTTCTACCCAGAAAACCTGCTTTTCTGGTCCTGTCCCCACAACACAGAGTTTAGTATGTAACTGTTGTGCAAAGCCTACTAATCTACACAATATGATAGAACCCTTACTTTCTAGGAAAGTGATCTCATTAGATCAAGCCAACACTTTGCTCTCCTTGCCTTTGGCTCTTCTGGGGAGCTACTGTACTTGTCTTTTCGTAGCCTGTCCTTGTCTTTGAGTTCTTCTTCCCTTGGTGAGCCTTAGCACATGTTGCTGGTAGCCTAGATGCTTATTCTGACACCCACTCCAGTGTTGGCCTAGACCAGATATCCATGACCATTGAATGAATGAAATAATAATCAGTGCTATGCCAAGAATACACCCAACAAACTTGTCATAGCCCACTATGTATTTACCATTCACAAATTTATTAAACCCAAAGAGCTTGGTTAGCACTGTGTTTTAAGGCATAAACAGTTATACCATAAAGTGGTTTTGTTGAGTGGAGGAAGTTCAAATGTGCATTATTTGTGACCCTGGGATAGATGTCCTGCATGAATTCACCTGGAATATGATTCTCTTCTAGTCAGCTCTTCTACTGTTGTGATAAAGTAACGACCAGGCAACTCAGGGAGGAAAGGGTTTATTTGATCTACGACTAGTCTATCATCAAGGAAATCCAAGGCAGCAGCTTAGGGCAGGAGCCTCTAGGCAGGAACTGAAGCACAGATTACAGAACACTGCTTACTGGCTTGCTCTTTTAGACGGTGGTCAGCCTGCTTATACAACCCAGGACCACCTACCCAAGGGTGGCACCACCTACAGTGGCCTGGACCCTCTCATATTATGTAACAATCAAGGAAATGCCTCACGGACATGGCCAGTCCAATAGAGGTGATTCCCCAGTTGAGGTTCCTTCTTCCCAGGTGTGTCAAGTGGACGACTGCAGCTATCTGAAATAAAGTCCTTTCTTAGGCATGTGAAGACAGAGTGGGTATATAGCATTCCTGATGATATAAATGCCCTCCAAAGTTGCTCAATTGCCTCAAGCTGTTCACTGGATTGATAAAAGAGAATTTACAAATTAGAGGTGACCCTCCATTTGGATATTTAAGCATCTCCCTCTGTTGCCATATCATTCAGTTCAACTGTCTCTGTCTTTTAGGCTCCACTAACAAAATACTTTAGACTGGGCAATATACATGCAACAAAAGCTTACTGCTCACAGCACTGGAGGCTGCAGGCTCCAGGATGAAGGCACAGGCACACTGGGCAGGTACATATCTGGTGACGCTGCTCTCTGCTCCCAGTTATTTTCTTTCTGCACCCTCACATGGCAGAAGGGGCTGGGATTCTTTTGTGAGGGTTTTAATCCCATTCGCAAAAGCTCCACCTTCGTGACTCGGTTGCTTTCCAAGTCCCCATTCACTAACAGTGTTGCATTGAGGATTAGGTATTAATATATGAATTTTGAGGAAGACACATGTATTTGGACCCTGGCACCTACAAATGAAATCTGAATATTCCCTATACTTTTCAACTCTGAGTCAGTTTCCAGCTGCAGGGAGTAGTGCAGATAATGTTCGTTTCCATAGAGGAAGAACAAACTAAATCCGAATGCAGAGCAAACAGGGCAGCTGTGGAACAGACTGTGCATTCATGGAGACAGCTGGCAGAGCCCCCAGGCAGTGGTTACTGTTGGCTCGCCCGCTATTGATGGTGAACCTCAATGTATATGTAATGGAATCAGAAAAACATAGGTTGGCTTAAGACATTAGTATCCTTAAAGTTATATTTATGTAAGACTCAGCTCTAATTTGTCATAGAAAATAGTGTGCCTGTTTCTATTCAGAAGAACATACCTAGTCTTTTGCCAGCACTAGATTTACTGAAGCTGATGTAGAGTGTATCTCTGAGGAGGAGGAAAGCCTCCAGGGGCATCTGTGTGATGTGTGTGCAGTTTCTATGAAAACATCAGTTTCTGTGTAAACCAATGAAAGCATAACCATCATCTTGTAAGGACCTGAAGAAGATGCACGCTCAGTGATTTCAGATGTTTGAATGATAACATATGAGGTCTGAGATATCATATTGGTAGTTTCCAAAATAACTAGAACAATCTGTTAGACAGATTGGATTTCTTCATGATTAAACAAGGTCAGAATGTTATCGGGGTTTTTAGGAGTTGGCTAGTAAAAGGGCATCATGGTTGGTAGCATGTGCTCAAGTCTCAAGTCACACATTCTGAATTTGAGCTCATTGCTGTGTCCCTTTGGGGACTGATATTTAACTCTTTGTGCTTTAGTTTTCTTGCCTATAAAATAGACATAAAAATCATACCTACAGATGAACTTTTGTGAGGTTTAAGAGAGCTTATGTATTAAAACACCTAAACCAGTGTCTAGTGTATAGAAGGTGTTTATAAACATAAACTATGATCAAGAATGTTCAAAGAACTTTCCACCAAAGTATCTAAGAACTTGTCACACATAAAACTTATACAAAACGTCTGAGGAGATGGATCATGGATAAAACACTTGCCACCCAAGTGTGAGGACGTGTTTGTAGTTCCAGGATTCACATCAAGCTGGGTGTAGTAGCACAGGTCTGTTATCCCAGTGCTTCTGTGGGGAGATGGAGAGTCCCCAGAAACTTGAGTCAGCTTGCCTAGAGCACATAGTGACAAGCAACAAAGAGACCCTGCCTCAAAAAAGGTAGAAGGTGAGGGCCAATATCTGATGTTGTCCTTTGACCTTCACAGGCGTACCTTAGCATGTGCACACTCACACAGTCATGCATGCACATGTGTGTGCACACACACATACACACATGCACATACATATAGTTGGACAAGAAACTCTAGAAAATACAAAAACAGAAAAGGCCTCAAAGACTTCCATTTTTCTGTCCAACATATAGGGAGTTTTGAAGTCACCATACGATTCAAATAGTAAAAAGCTTCCCTCAAAATCGTGAATAAAATGAGGGTGTAGAACAAGCCACTGTACCCCAGATTGGAGACAGATAAAGAGAGGCACCCCTGGCTGGAGCAGAACTCAGGTAGTAGCCTCTGTAGAAACAAAGGCCCAGGCAGGAAGTGGAACTGTGATTGACACATTGCTGGAGGCTCAGTGCTAGATGAGGGGGAAGTCGAAACATGAAGACCCAGTCAAGCTAGGCTGCACACTGTTGTGAATTTTACCTCCAAGGGTTCAGTCAGATTCTTTCAGTGAATAGTGGAGAAAAATTCTCTTATGCTTATGATGGTTGGGGAGGTCACATTTTGAAACACAACAAGACATTGTGTTCTTACTGAGGCCTGCTGGTATAAGAATCTATTTCCACAGGACCTGTTGGAGCTTTATCATAACCTACCAATTTCATTTGACTTATGGTTGGGTTACACCCTGTAAACCCATGGTAAGTTAAAAATACATTTAGTTGAAAATGCATTTAATACAACCTAACAAAAGTCATTGTCTTGCCCTGCCTACCTTTAATATTCTCAAAACACATTAGCCTACCATTGGGAAAAATCATCTAACACAATGCCTATTTTTTTATTATTTTAAACTATATGTATTGGAGGGTATGTGCATGTGAGTGCAGGTCCTCATGGAGGGGAGGCCTTAGATTCCCCTTGAAGCTGTAGTTAAAAGCAGTTATGAGTCTCTTGACATGAATGCTGGCAACCAAACTTGGATCCTTTGTAAGAATAATACATGCTCTTAATTGCTGAGCCATCTCTTCAACCCCCACAATACCTAATTATAATAAAAGCATTGAATAATTCAAGTAGTTGGTTGAAAATATGATAGGATGTGAAATCATTCAACACAATCACCACAAACCGTGTTGTACGCTGTTGAGTGTGCTTTTCCCTGATGTTCTGTGTGGCTGACTGGGAGCTGCAGCCACTACCCAGCATTGCAAGAGGACATTGTAACTAGCCTGGAAAAAGATCAAACTC